CTACGAGTCGTGCCCACCCATAAACAACAACATCTTGCTCGGCGACGACTCGAACTACCTTCCATTCATGCCGTTCGCAGACGACCCGACGTTCGACTACCACGACTACCTGGCCGACCACAAGGGTCTCGCATGGCAAGAGGGGGGGTATCGCGACTCGGACGGTGCGCAGGGTAGAGTTGCAGGGAGTGGCGTGCAGTACTGAGCGCTGCCTGCAGTTCTCGCGATTGTGCTGGAAACGGCGCGGCGACTGCAGCGTGAGCACGGAATGTCAATGGAGACGATCGACAAGACTGGGATCCTACCGCTCACGCTGTGCACGACCTCTGTTTGGGGCGCGATTTGGACGGAGAAGATGAGGTAATGAGTGTATATTCACGGCTCCGCATGCTTAGACGTTCTGACAGCTCATACTAGCGATCGTATACCATGGCCCGGCTCGTCAAGGGCTTCTGCACCCGCTCTTTCGGATATCACACCGCCTGCAGCAGACGACCTGAAGACGCGACTCCAGGACTACCTAACTCTGTGGTGTCCTCGTCTGGAATGCCTGCAAGGACACTGTTTCACCCATGGCAAGCCTATATTTCTAACGGTTTAAGAATTGAGCTCACCATTAGACTCCTGCGTAGCGACGGAGCAGCACAATATCGACTTCGCCGTCCCTGCGGTCCCCGGACAAGAACGTTTTAGGTTGCAATCCGCGCAGACACCGTGCGGCAATGATTGCACTCTCCGGCATCGCCCGATCCATGAGGCGAGTGCATGACTGATAGTTAGCCACAACCTCACTTACCTCTTTACAGAGAGACGTGGCTTGGAGCGACGCCGACCTCGAGGAGCTGAGAGTAATTTGTCATATTGCACCACCGACAACGCCATGCGAGCTTGCCCGCTTATGTCACAAGCCCTGTTTCGAGGTAAACATTCTGGCGATACTGCCTCCTGGCTACCAAACTAAATTATCGCTAGGTTGCCGTAGTGGCTCCAAGGGTTTCGATCAAGCGCAAGAAGGGACGGCCAAAAGACAAGCACGACGAGCCTCAAGATCCCCAGTACGAGAGACACCTGTATGGTGAGTACGACACCGCAAATCTCTCTGCGTATGTTAAAGCCTCTCCAGGTACGGAGGTCCCTCCGCACTTCATACCGTCAGTGGTGATTTTCCCTACATTGAAGCCTGGTCTAGCTGAACGTCTGCCGTTCAGGAACAAGCCATGCAACCACCCAGGCCCCTGTATCCACAACGGCGGCTGCGCATGCGCCGCCAACGCCGCACACTGCTCTCGTTCATGCGGTTGCTCCGCCCTCTGTGCGTTCCGTACCTCGCAAGCACTTTCCACACGCTCGGCCCGCACTGACTCCGTGCTCGTACACGACAGGTGCGCGACGATGGAAGGGATGCAAGTGCGCGACGATGGTCGTAAAGCAACACAAGCGGGGCCCGCGCGAGTTGATGCAGCCTTGCTCGACTGACTACTGTCCGTGCAGGAAGGCGAAGCGGGAGTGCGACCCTGAGGTCTGTGCACCGTGTCCGGAAGACTCGAGCTGTAGGAACATGCAGCTACAGCGAGGCGTGCCAAAAGTAAGCCACACCGTATTGCCGTCAGCCATTGTCGCTCGAGCTGATGCGACGCTTTTCCATTTCCTAGCGTGTCGAAGTCAAGCAGAGCAAACACGGCATGGGCTTGTTCCTTGCCGAGGCGGTACACGAATGCGACCTCATCATAGGTACTGCTCTTATTCTCTTATTCAGTAATACCACTCACAGCTTTTCCGACTCAGAGTACGTCGGCGAGCTCATATACGAGGCGACATTCCAAACCCGCAAGTGAGCCCTCTCCTTCGCTCTGAAAATCAAGCTGCATTCCTGACGTTCGTCCACAGTGAGCTCTCGCAGCACCTTGGACGCAACTACGTCTTCGGCCTGAACGACCAAATATCCGTGGACAGCACGCGTGCAGGCAACCCGGCGCGGTTCATCAATCACGCGCCGGCTCGGAGGGCGAACGTCGAGGTGTCCAGTGAGCTTTCCCGCTCATCGCCATCCTAGATTGCTACTGATCTCGATACAGTCCTCTTGGTTGATGGCGAGCAGCGGATCGGGGTCTACGCGAGTAAGTCCCGCTCCTATGCCACGGTGGCCAACGCGAGAGCAACTGACTTGCTGACGTCTCTTCAGAGCGGCAGATGGCGCCCGGGACTGAGCTTTTGCTCGACTACGGGCCGGAGTTCCCGATAACAGGGGCGGAATCATAGTCTTCGCGTGGAGATCCTTCGCAATGGAAAGGCAGTATTATAAGGCCAACTAGTTGTAGTATAGCTCGATGGCGTCGCTAATGAGGCTAACTGCTGGAAAGTAGAAGTAAATCACAAGTTGTGGAGCTCGCCACAATTGTTCTCGCACACACGGAACTGCGAAAGGAGGTTCGCCGTACAGACCTTCGCAATACAGGAAGTCAAGAGGCGTTGCTCAGGAATAGCAACCACTTAATCCCCTCTCGCGCATCACGGTCCAACTTGACGGCGGCCGCGACTCCCGGGAATAAGTAGTGGAAGGCGTGGAAGCATCCCGAGTACCTGTGCAAGCATCGCGCATGAGGGAGATGTCCTGGAATATCGAAGAAAACACTCACTCGATCAGTTTCGTCGGAACGCCCGCTTCGCGTAAGAGCTTCTCGTATAGAATCTCTTCGTCGTGGAGAGGGTCGAGCTCCTGGACTTGGATGAACGCTGGTGGAAGACCAGCATGTGAGGCCGCCAGCAGCGGGGAGATGCGCAGGTCGTTGGCAGCGCTTGGCGGGGCGTACAGACCTACGAAAGTGTATATCGGTCAACGGATACACAATTTATGAAAGCGGGTGTTCGATGCGCACTGATGAAGTTGTGAACAGTCTCGGTCTTGAGGACAGGCGTGTTCGTGTACTCTGACAAGGAGCGGAGTTCCGCTCTGTATTTCTCCGGGTGGGCCTCCGGGGAGCAAACTGTGGCCTGGCGGAGGTACTGTCCGGTGAGCGAGTGCGCGTTGAAGAACGTATCGTCGCGCGCCTGGAGAGCGATCGCGGCGGCCATGTTCCCCCCTGCTGAGTCGCCGGCAACGACGAAGCCTTTCTTGAGGTCGACCTTGAGCTCGGGGGCGTGCTCGACTACCTAGACGGCGAGGCGGGTAAGCATGCGCGAGGGGGATCCAGGCATGAGCATGACATACCCATTTGACCGCTGTATAGGAATCCTCAAATGGGATCGGGAAGGGATGCTCCGGGGCGAGCCTGTGAAGAACTTCAGAACTCCTCGGATGTCAGATAGGTAGGGAGCACCGTGCACCTATAGTCTACGTTCACAATAGCGACCTTGAGTTCGACGGAGATTGTTCGGAGATGCATATCGTCCTGATCGAGGTCTCCGAACACCCATCCTGCAGGAGTTGCAAAAGGTCAGAGAGAATCGACCCACACTTCAAGGCTTCGGGGACTTACCTCCTCCGTGCATCCACACGAGTACCGGGACCGTCTCTCCATCGCCACAGGTCGGTATCACGCACCTCACCATTATCTTCCCATCCTCGACGGAGACCTGTCTGTCGAAGACAGTATACTGCGAGGCTACCCCATTTCCAAGTCAGCAGATTCGTTAGTTACTACTATATATACAGTTCAATGAACACCCACAGTCCGGAAGTCGCTGGGCGTAGTACTCGGCGAAGGGCTTATGTGTCGCGCTCAGCATCTTTCGATAAGACGCTGCCTCAGAAACCCCTGGAGGAAGGAGGGGTGTAGGTCTGTTGAGGAAGGGATTGGTAGCGAGGGCCGCAGCCAGTTCCGGATCGTAGTTCATAGTGGTAACTTGGAAGTGTGTGGGCTGGTGTTCGCGGTGTCATTCAGTTCTGAGAGCGTGTCGCTCTTAAGTAGGCAACTGAAAGGCCTACTGCATACTGCGCGAGGTCATTGTTCTGGCACGGTCAGCCGTCACCACGTAATCGTGACAATCGAACGGGCCTACAGTGCTCTGGGATTGACCGGATTCCAGTTCTCCGATACCTGGGACTAGGGCCGGAGATCTGTACAGCACCCGGATGACTTCGGGAGCAATGTTCGCCGTCGTCCTGCAATCACCGAAGTACAGAAGCACAAAAAGATGTCTGTTTGAAACATACCTGCGTCATGTGTATGGTGGTTCCCGCACCATGATGTCAGATGAATGACGAAGAAGGTACAGTAAAGGATTGGATGCACTGGCGCAGTGCCGCTCCTGTCGGCCCACTGCTGCCCAGATGCGTCATGAACGGTCGGGGCTTTGTCTCTTGGCAAGTCAGTAGCAAGGCATATGCCTGTCAGCCCAGGTGATGAGGATAGGGACGTCCGTCGGAGGAACTTAGGTATCGGGCTGTCGCAGGTCCCGGCTAGAACGACTGATGTCGAAGTGATGTCCCCACTCTTCATGTCGTATCCTTTTATGGTACTGCATTCTATCAGGTGGTCCAGGCGCTATAGCCAAGTACGCTCGGATAACCAGCACCACAGCGTTAGAGCATCATTCAAATACGATTGACGCGATGTTGTGCATTCCGATGGGAAGCGTCACAGTAGCGTACCTCATAAGATATCATGCGTCCCTTCCTTACAGTGGGGGCACTGGCAGCGAGTACAGTGAGACATGTAAGTCGACCGTGACGTGAGGACTGGCACACAGTGATAGAGCGAGGAAGTTCCCCGGGCAGGCGTTGAAGAGAGTACTGGCCGAGCACCAAATGCAAAATACCCCTAGTAATAGAAAAGCAATGCCGGAAGCAGTTAGGTCTTGATGGTAGTAGATCGTTGAAGTTAGGAGAACCACTTCCGCAGTACACGCGCGCTTAGGACTGTAAGTGTTTCTATGCGGTCATCACTGTGGATGAGAAGCAGATTGACCAACATGCATGATATGGATGGGTCCGTGGCCTTATTCGTGCATCAAGTGAGTGCAAGGGGGATTAGAGCCCTGCCAAAAAAGGAGACACGGTATTCCCATTAGCCGACTCGAACGACTGACCTCGTCATGTCGTACCCTCTGCGGGTTACTAGTGACGCGCTCTACCAACTGAGCTAAACGGGAGTTGCTATCAACATTGTGCATAAATATATGGACGCCGCAGTTTTCACGCTGCTCGTGTTTTGGCTTCAGCCCAAGGAATGGTTATTGTTCTCCTTCATTACCAAAGTATCTCTCTCGTCCTTCCGTTCAACCAGGACGCGCACCTATCGTAAGTCTCATCGTCACTGAAAAATCAACCCTGCGTCAGTTATTACATAGGCTTTAGCCAGCCACTTCACGCAACTGTGATTACGCACGAGCTCTCCTGTACAAGATCGATGGTTTCTCAGCTAGATCCTACACCAACGGATGGCTACGGAACCTCTACGTCGTCCTTACAACGAGAGACTGAAGACATCATCACAAGACACATTCCGACTCAGGGAACAGCTCATGCCGAATTGCAGAAGAAGTTGCACTTCGAGTTTCTCCTCCGCAACTTAAGACAAGGATTCCCTGAGCGCTACACGTCTCAGGATGCCAGTCAACCATGGCTCATATACTGGACCCTTCACGGCTTTAGCATCCTCGGGGTTGGTCTTGACGATCAGACCAAGAAGCGGTGAGTACCGGATGCGATATGTGAACTAACGACTGAACCATGTGGGCTCAGGACTATCGAGACGTTGCTGGCGATGCAGCACCCTGACGGTGGCTTCGCTGGCGGGCCTGGTCAGGCTGCACATCTTCTTCCCACATACGCCGCTGTCTGCTCATTGGCCGTCGTCGGACGTCCTGGAGATGGCGGAGGCTGGGACGCGATCGATCGGTACGGCACTAACATACCACCGGTTCTCATCCCCGCATATCTCACGCGCCGGGCCCTTGCGCAGGAAGAAGATGTACGATTTCTTCATGTCCTTGAAGCAACGCGATGGCTCTTTCCTCGTGAGCCACCACGGCGAAGTAGATGTCAGGCAAGTGGTTTGCCTTGCTCGGTAGCCGGAGTCTGATTGCCCGGATGAACAGGGGCATCTACTGTCTGCTATCGGTAGCCACCCTGCTAAACCTGCTGACGCCCGACCTTCTTGCGGGCGTCCCCGAATTCCTAGCCACATGCCAAACCTACGAGGGAGGCTTCTGCAATGCTTCCTTCCCAGGATGGGCGTTTGAAGCGGGTCAGTGTGCTCGGGCTAGTCCCACGTACGCGATCAGTCTCAGCTAATGCGCGATGCAGATGATCCAGAGGCACCAAGCGACTCGCCGAGGACTTACGACCCCTCAGCGCCCCGTCCGCCGCTCGGTGAGGCGCACGGTGGGTACACGTTCTGCGCCACCGCCTCCTGGGTCCTCCTACAACCCTACATCAAACTCTACCCTTCCGCCGCCGGTGATAGTGGCTCGTCCTCCACGCCGGCGATCAACACGCGTGCGCTTCTGCGCTGGTGCGTGCAGATGCAGGGACTCCCCATCGAGCTCGGAGGGTTCAAGGGGAGGACGAACAAGCTCGTGGATGGGTGTTATAGCTGGTGGGTCGGTGGATGTGTCGTTCTGGCTGAGACGCTCCTCGGCGTTGCGGGCACACACGAGTCTGTGCCGGAGGAGCATCATGAGGAGAATGACGAAGACGGACAGAAAGCGTGGGACGATGCAGATGGTAAGCGGCTGACCTCTATTCGACTCGGGTGTGTCATGCTAATTGTATCCATCGCTTTGGCTTCCTTGCGGATATTGCTGGACATCCGATTCGCCCTCGCACCGATTGCCATGCGTAGATTCTCTATTCAACCGCAAAGCGCTCCAGGAGTACATCCTCTGCGCCGGGCAACACCCAGCCGGTGGGCTCAGAGACAAACCGCCCAAGTAAGTCTTCCTCCGAGCGCGCGGTCACCCACAAACCCGGGACTACGTGATGACGCTTCTTTCCTGCAGACCCGCGGACGCGTACCACACGCTGTATTGCACGGCGGGCCTATCGGCCGCCCAGCATCGCGTCATCCCCTCAGAGGCGCGCGCGAAGGCTGTCATCTCCGCTTGGAACGCGTCCCAGGCGCATGCCAAAGACGGTATGTTCTCGCTCTCCTACTGCGGCGTTCTTTTCTGGATTGTGCGTGCTTAGAAAAACTGCGCACAGGCACGGCGTATGCTCCGTCGTCGGATGCAGAGCGTGAGAGGCTCGACGAGTTGCGCAAGCGCATCTTTGCTCACGCTATGTCCTGGTCCGAGGAGGAAGGCACGGCCGTGTACGTCGGCGGCGCAGCTAATCGTGTGGTGAGTCTTCCTGCGTTCATGACCGGGCTGCCTGCCGACGGATTTGGGGGGATACTGATCGTTCTTTGTCCACCGGTGATAAGAACGCTACCCACCCCTTGTTCAATCTGACGGTGACGCACTCGGACGGAATTCTTTCCTACTTTTACGGCCAAACTCCGCCGTCGCGGTACGCAAACAAACCGGCGACGAAGTGATCCGAAGAGACGATCCCTGACCTATGACTCCTTGAACTCGAACAACCGGTCTTCCGATCGATGGCAATATACGCATGCCGGGCAACACGTAAAGAGCAGAATAGAAGAGCTTGTGTAGGCTACGCGGGATCTGATGGATTACAGCTCATTGTATACATAGCAAGCATAGTGGAACCAGTTCAGGGAAGCGATCGCGCACGAGGGGCGTCGAATTGTCCGTCCAATATCGGGATTACACCCACAGAACCACTCGCCCGTCGAGACTCCGTGCACGCGCCGCCCGGGGCCCTGCCATGTTGCCCAATAAGACACCACCAGACCCACACGGCGACGCGCTGCCATCGGCTATTTGGCTGCTTTCGCGAGGAAGCTTCTGCGGTGATGGTCAAATCTACCCTTTATTAAATCACGGCTTCGCAGGCACCCCACTGGGGTGTGCATTCTCGCGACCGTGAGTCGGCGGCCGCATGAGGAAGAGGAAGCGACAGGAACTCAGGCCTCACCTCTAGCGGCACAACACTTGAGCCTGTCGGTCTATCAGCGTGCAGAAGAGCCGGAATCGTAGGCCATTGAGCTATTGCAGACACCCTGTGGCAGAGCAGCGCAAACTGGGTAGCGTGCATTTGAGGCAGAGACACGCTTTCGGCTCTTGAAGCTTGACGTGCGAAGCCGAACTTTGTGGACGCAACTAATCGATATTATTTCAGTGCTTCGTCTGCGGGAACCTGCGAAAGATGTACTACCGGAAGAATCGTGTATGATACAGTGATAGGCTCGGAGCGGTGCCCCATATACGTTTATACAATGGGAGGCATACGATGGGCGCACTAGTATGGCGGGACCTTGTCGGACGGGTTGAATGTCAGCGCTGACATTAACTGAAGCAAATATAGCATGGGCGGGAGATAGCGCGGAGCAAGTCGCTGGGCCGCCTCGCAATTACCTGGGGGCATGGACGGTCACCACTGCCCCACCAACCTCAAGAGGAATATCAAGATGATGAACCCACTGTGTTGTGTCCAAGGCGTCATCGAAGGCCATAGAAAAGGTCGCATGAGAGAGCAGGGCAGGACGCACCTCACGGCGTCCTACCCGTCCTCCCGCGCAAGTCCTGGACCTCCTGCTCCAACCAGCTCAACCTCTTCTTGTCCTCCCTCCTCGAAAGCTCCAGCTCCATCATCTGCCTCTCCAGAGCCTCTATCCGCGCCTTCTCCTCCATCCTCGCCTTCGTCGCGATCGGCAGCATCCTCGAGACCTCGTTCCACCGCACGTGGTTGGTGGACATCTCCGCCCGCACGCTCACCGGGACGAGCGCATGCTCCATCGCGATATCGAACGCATCCGGCCAACGCAGCCCGAAGCCGATGGAGCACCCGAGCGGGAGGATCTGGCTGAGGAAGAGGGTGACGGGCTCGGACTTCGCGATTGCGGAGAGCCCGACCGCGAGGGTCTCGAGGCGGCGGAATCGAGGCATGCGCTGCGAGCGAGGAGTGGGGGCGAGGTCCGGGATCGTGCGCGCGTCGACATGGAGGCCCAGATGACGGAGGTTGGGGCAGTATCGGGCAAAGGGGAGGAGAACCCGCAAGTTCAGGCCGGGAACGTTGGGCTCGGGTACCGGCTCGGGGTTGAGATGCAAGCTCTCCAGTGAAGGCCAGCTGCTCGCGAACTCTTCCATGTCGTCATCGCTTATGGCAAGAGCGTAGTCCCAACGGAATTCGAATGCCCGTATATGCCGCGCCGAGAAGAGCGGACGAAACGTCGCAATGGTCGGACGTTCGTGCAGAGGTGGAGGAGGCGAGGTGAGTTGAGAGTCCGGTGCGATGATGTAGTCGACGGACAGTTGGACAAGCGACGTGCATCTGTCCCGAATCGCGGAGAACAGATCCTGCAGCGCATCCGGCGTTGCGATCATTATGGCCTTCAGGTGGAGTTCCGTTAGCTGCGCGGGAAACAGGGAGTCGCGGAGGAGTTGTGCAGCATGCTCTACCTGTGCACTAAATGACAGGCTACGCAGGGCTGGGAACGCGTTGTTGGCGAGGGTGGGGGAGAAGTGAGCAACGTCGGCGCGGTTTCCGGGCTCAGCGCGGGCGGGATGGGTGAGGTTGATTATCGCAATATGTTTGAGCCGCGACAGCTCCGTGAGAAGGCGAGGTGTGAGAGCATAGATTGGCACCGAGACTCGCTGGAGGTGCGGAAGTCCGCGGAGGAGGACCAGGACGTAGTCTTCGAAGTTACCCATGTGTTCTTCGAGACACAGGTCCAGGTTCGTCAAGCTCGGGCTTCGTGAGCATACTTGAGTGATGTAGTCTGTGAGGGAAGGTGGTTCGGATCGATAGAGATGGAGACCAAGATGTCTGACGCGCCGGTGCATGAACACGAGACAGAGCTCCTGCCTTTCTGGAGCACACGGGAACCATACGAGCGATTGGAGGTTAGGGAAAATGTCCGGCGTTGGGCACGTCGCTGCCAGTTCTTCGAAAACCTTCGAATGTAGAAGAGTGGGACGCTTTGATCTGTCCACAGCAGAGCGAAGGTGACGGTGGTCATGACGAAGTCGGCGTACTCGGCTAGAATATCGCTGGAACCTCTCCCAATCTCCGGGAGACAAAGAAC